TCCCCGCAAAACACCGCTGATCCTGCCCCCCACCAGGTGGTCTAACTCAGCAGCCAGCTGTGTGGGGCATGCCTGTGTCAGGGCTGCCAAAAAGGACAAGCCAAAGGGTACTTGAGGCCCAGCTCCTGCCCCACGTCCTCCCCGTGCAGGGTGCAGACTCAGCTTACCCCTGCCGCCCCCTAACTGGCCTCCCCTGAGGGACTCAGAGCCCCATGGCTTACAGCCGCTGCCCTAACTGCAGGGAGCCGTGGGCCCCAGCACTTCTCTTTAAGAACCATGACGGGACCACCCTATGGGTCCAGAGGCTCAGTCCTGACAGGAGCAGGCAGCCTCCTCTTCCTGCCTCGGAGCAGCCAGTGGGTTTGAACCACCGACCTTACTGTCAGAAGCTCAACGCCTGCCTCACAGCACCACCAGGACTGCGAGCACATGTGTGCGGGGGAGGGGACAATCCAATGACCACTAGCAGCAGAGGGGACACTCAAGCTTCCCAGCCACAGCCACACTGGGGAAGGAAGTGGGGGTCCGGGGGGTGCCCAGGCGCAGCGGGGAAGAGGGAGCAGGTCGTGCAGCTGGCTCTGAGGCATCTGAGGAGCTCAGGGGACACCCGAGGGGCCCTGAGTCCCACCCAGGCTGCCCCTGCCCACTGTGGGAACCCTGTCTGCTGGGGGATGAAGAGGGCGGATGAAGAGGGGGCGTCTTGGTGACCAGGATGTGTAGGAGATGCCCAGAGTCCTGACACAAGTCTCCCAATAGCCCCGAGGGCTACAGTCACATCCCCAATGAGCAGGGCCAGCGCCTGGCGGCCAGGCTCTGCCCAGGGCACCGCTGGGCACCTGGGCAGCATGGCAGGCCTGCCCCCGCCATCACATCAGCCCGGCTGGGGCACAGCAGGAGCGCAGCATCCACCCCGCAGCTCTGCCCGACAGACTGGGTCGCCCTGCCCCACAGCACCCTGTCCATTGAGCAGGCCCCCCGCCCAGGACCCACGGGCATGCTGACTATTGGGACGAGAGCGCTCCGGTCAGCCCCGCCCCACTGACCACCTGTGGAGCCAGGGACCGCTCCTGCTCCAGGTGACGTGTAACCACCTGCCAGCTCTGTCTGCGTGGGCCCCCTGCAGACCACCCTCCTCTCCTGGCTGCAGGGGACCAGCAGCAGTGTTCGTGGCAGGCAGCCAGGGAGCTGCGTAAAGGGAGCCTCTTGCTGCTCTGCTCGATGGACAGAGAGGGTCCCTGCTCCTGGAGGA